AAGACAACCTGTGAATTCCCTTTCTTTAAGTTAAATTATACTATATATCTATCATTCTATCTATCTATCTATCTATCTATCTATCTATCTATCTATCTATCAATCATTCTATCTATCTATCTATCTATCTATCATGGTGTAGTTTGGTTTTGTGCTACCCTAGGCATCACTAAAACCGACACCCCATAATCTAGATTTGTCACATTAAGGCCCCCTAAGGTTGGGCAGCTGGGTGGAATGAAAGCAGCAGAAAAGGAGCTTTAATCTTCCTGCTCTTCTACCTCTGCTCTCTCGCGCATCGTTTAGTGATTCTGGGGCTGGAGTGACATCATATTCCAGCTCCCGGCATCACAGCAGGGCACACGATGGAGCAGAGCAAGTAGAGTAGGAAGATAGCCAGCGGTGGTTTCAGCTCTTCCCCCATCCTGCAAGCTCAAGCTCCAGGCAGTCCCAACACCAGACATAAGCCCCCCCCCTGCCCAAGGTTAGCCTCAGGGAGGGGGGAATACTTTATAGCTTTTTTTTTTAAATCAAAAAGTTGTTTTTTGTTTTGTTTTTTGAATCAGCCCCTGTGCACTCTTCCACTGCCCCTGTGCCCCTATCTACTGTCCCTGCGCCCCACATGCTCTTGTGCCCCCCTACCGCCCCTATGCTCCCTCTGTATACCCCCCTTTGCTCCCCTTTACTACCCCTGCACCCCTCTACTGCCCCTGTGCCCACCTTTCTTGCCCCTGTGCCATCCTCTACTGCCCCTGTGCTCCACTCTATGGCCCCTGTTCACCAATACTGCCCCTGACCACCCTCTACTGCCCCATTGCCTCCCCACCACAGCCCTTATGCACCTCTCTACATCCCCTAACTTTCCTACTACACATTCCTTCCACTACAGCCTCTATCCTCCCACTACAGCACCTAGCTCCCTACTACAGGCCCTAACTCCTCAATTACAGCTCCTGTCACCACAAAACATTACCAGTGCCTGTCATGTATCTGAGCAGGTCAGAGAGGAGACTTATGCCAGGGTTGACTTCAGGTATTTTATTGTAATTTCTAGACATGGTTTGACAAGAAATAATAAGAATAGCAAGGCAAGAGGGAGAATGGAGTAATTAATATAGAGAAATGGAGAAAGTAGAACCTATAAACGGAATTACAGGTGAGTATACAAAATTACAGGGATAACAGAAAACAAGAGTTTAAGCAATAATCCCCATAACAGATTTAAGGAAACAGGGAAACCTGTAAGTGAGATTATAGGTGTAACAAGATAAGGAAAACCTATAAATGAAAAGCGACTAGTAATGAAAATACAATTAGATAGAACTAAACAGAAATATAAAGGATATGGTAATACAGGTTAGGTTAGAAATTGAGGTGATCAGCCTCTTTGGTTTGATGTCAGAACTGCAGTTTCAGGGTCTTTTAGGATACTTGCAAATAATAGGAAGGTCTGTAATATCCAGGTAGGTTGGAACAAAATCAATAAGAAATCAAAGTCCCGTATAGAAATAAAGCAGGTTCGTATTGGAGATCAGGTTGGAATAATAGTCTTCAGAGTATAGCCGGTTTTCTTAGTATGAGCCATGAGCAGAAGACTTCACAGGAACAGAACACAAACTTCTATCAATGTTAATTTTATTATGTGCCTGCATATCTCTGTGACTGTGTGCCTGAATAATTTTCTATATGTGCCTGTATAGTGGTGTGTGTTGCTATACATCTATGTCTATATAGCTTGGGAGGAAAAAGACACACAATGGGCCCCGGTGGACACACACACACACACACACACACACACACAAAACAGACTGAAGGAAGAGAGCCACAGAAAAGAGCTGTGGAAAAGAGACACACAAAGGTGCCACGGGTGAGGGGGAAATAAGAGACACAGAGGGGTGTAAGACACAATAAAGGGGGATAAAAAAAACACTGAACGGGTAAGAAATTTAAAAGGAGGGTTATGAGAAACATGTGAAGACACATTTGGGGCGGGGGTTGGCAAAAGGCATCTTCGCCTATCTATCTGTCTATCTATCTATCTATCTGTTTGTCTGCCTGTCTTTCTACTTATTCACCATCCAACTCCTCCTTCAATCACAATTTCATGTGCTTTCTCCTTTAGTTTCTTATTTTCATTAAATCCAGGGCCGGTGAGTCCTATCGGCGACTTAGGCAGTCGCCTAGGGCGCACCGGTACAGTGCTCCCTCCTGCCATTCGCTCAGTGTAGCGTGGCTGGGCGGAGGGGACCGTGGTACAGGAGCGTCTGTTTCCTGTACCCAGCCGGACTGAAAGGAAGTGCTCTCACAGTAAGGCTGTGAGCGCCACCCGGCCACGCTACAAAGAGGTAGGAAGCACAACAGGGAACGGAGGGGAGAGACCACTAACGGAAAGATGGGGGTGGAGAGACCACTAAGGAACAGATGGGGGTGTAGGAGAGACCGTTAAGGAAAAGTTGGGGGGAAGAGACCACTAAGGGAAAGATGGGGGTTGAGAGACCCCAAAGGAAAAGTTGGGGGGGAGACCACTAAGGGAAAGGTGGGGGGAAGAGACCACTAAGGGACAGATGGAGGGGAGGAGAGACCAGTAAGGGAAAGATGGGGGGTGGGAGAGACCACCAAGGGACAGATGGGGATGGAGGAGAGACTACCAAGGAAAGATGGGGAAGAGTGGAGAGACCACTAAGAAAAAGATAGGGAGGAAGGAGAGAGACACCAAGGGAAAGATGGGGAGGAAGGAGAACCCTAAGGACAGGGAGGCAGGGAGAGCACTAATGGTCAGGGGGGAGCATTATGAGTCAGGGGCAGGAGAGCATTAAAGGTTAGGGGGCAGGGAAAGCACTAAGGACAGGGTAGGGAGATCCCTAAGGGAGATCACTAAGGGACAGGAGGGCAGTGGAGAGCACTAAGGTACAGGGGGACAGGGGAGATCACTAAGGGGCAGGTGGGGAGGGGAGATCACTAAGGGATGGGAGAGCACTAAGGGACAGGAGGGGATGTGAGAACACTAAGGGACAAGATGGGATGGGAGAACACTCAGGAACAGGAGAGGATGGGACAAGAGGGGAGAGCACTAGGAGACAGGAGGGGAGAGTCTAAGGAGCAGGAGGGGAGACCTCTAAGGGACAGGGGGAGAGGAGAAGATGAGACCACTAAGGGACGGAGGAAGTGAAAGAGATCATTAAGGGATGGGGGAGAGTGTAAGACACACAGAGAAGCTAAGGAAGGGGTGAAAGAGAAGCACAGAAGGGCTGGTAGTGGAGACCGAGACACACAGAAGGGCTCAGGAGAGAGACACACAGAGGGGCCTGGGGGGAAAAAGAGACACACCAATGAGCTGGGAAGAGTAAGACACAAAGGGGCTGGGAGGATGTATCAGACATACAAAGGGAGGGTAAGATATACACTAAAGGAAAAAGAATAAAATATACAAAAAAAATTATATTAACAATAAATACAATAATAAAAATAAAGAGCTGTTCCCCTCTCAGCCCCTATGCTACCCCACCCTCTCTTTCACACTACACACATACACAATGCATCCCTACACATACACAGAAATACACAATGCATCCCTACACACACATGCACAGAAATATACAATGCAACCCTACTCACACACAGACACACCGAAACATACAATGCATCCATTATACACACACACACACACACACACACACACACACAATGCATCCATTACACACACAATGCAGCCCTTGCACACATATACAGAAGCACACAATGCATCCATTACACACACACACACACTGCTTCTCTTAATGCATATCTTACACACACTCAGTGCACCCCTTACAGACACACACTGCATTACATTACATACACAGAAGCACACAATGCCTTCCTTACACACAAACACACACTGCATCCCCTATACACACACACACACACTACATTCCATAAGAACACACAGACATTACATCCTCTACAATAAAACACAACACATCCCCTACACACATACACTCCACTCCCTGTGAGCAAACTCATTTGTGGGCCTTGTAGACATACTCACGGTCAGGCCCTGGGGTCCCAGAACTTGAGCTGTGCAAGGGGCCCCACAAAATGGAGCTGCTTCCTGTTTGATTTTTGTGAGCACTGCCTCCAGAGAGCCTGTTTTAACACCAAACTAGTGGAGCCAGACTACAGCCTGAGCCCATCATCATCCTCTTGTCCTCATCTTGTGGTAATTAGGCAATTCCATATATTATTAGTGGCACTAATCTCTAATTTACCTCACATTAAAAGGACACTACAGTCACCAGATGCACTTCAGCTTAATGTAGTGGTTCTGGTGTCTATAGCCTGTGCCTGCAGGCTTTTTAATGTAAACACACTGCCTTTTCAGAGAAAAGAAACTGTGTGCAGCACTAGCGTTGGCTCATATTTCAGATCATATGGGTTGGGCATTGTGATGTCACATGGGGGCAGCTCATTTTTGTTTGCCTAGGGCGGCAAAAATCTTTGCACCGGCCCTGATTAAATCTTCCTGTCACCTCATTCCATTCACTCCACCTCCCCACAGTCTCCATTCCCTCCCAATTCCACCTTCCCCCATTCATCTCGATCCATGTCCCCTTGTAATAAATTCACATTTCCATCTTAATCTTCACTTTTCATGCACTCTTTCAGTCAGAGCAGAATTAACCATAAGGTGAACATAGCTGGCTGCCTAGAGCCCTGGTATTAGAGAGGTGCCCTGGAACAATTACTTTTCTTGACTCTATTCATCGTCCCTATGTGAAGAGTGAACGGAGGTCCCAAACCGATATGTTGCCTAGTGCCCTGTGGGATTTTAACCCTTATCTGCTCTTTTCCTTGTTAATCATCTTCCCTCTCTACTCAACCCCCAACTTGGTCTTTCATTTATATCTCCCTTTTTCATTAATTCCTCCACTATCATTCTCACTTGTTCTCCATTCAACTTTTTGCTTTCCCACACTTTTCATCATTTAGATATATATATTCATGTTTTATTTATTTTATCTATGTTTATCTCCCAGTGCTCAAACAAAGCCACACAGGAAGCAGGAACAGCCCAACAAACTCCTCTGAATGCTTATGATGCCGGATCCCAGCTGGACCACAGGGATGCCACCCTTCGGATAAAAGGATCTCAACTGGACCACAGGGAAGCCACTCCCCTGGTAAAAGGTAGGCGAAGAGGTACATTTCAGTATCTCAGTTTGTGTGTGCTTCTGTCAGTGTTTCTGTGAATGTGTCTTCCGATGTGTGTATTTGTGTGTCTGTCAGTTTGTGTGCATGTGTGCCTGACAGTGGGTGTGTGTATGTTTGTTACCATGCATATTGTGTATTTTTGTGAGTGTGTGTTGGTATCTGCGTGTGTCTGGCATTAATATCCTTGTATGTGTGTGTTTGAAATGTGAATGTAGTGCCTTAGGTGTGTGCAAGCTGTTCAGCCGACATAGCTTGCACACTTCCAGGGTGACAGGAGTGGGGTGCACAGAGCAACCCTTTAAAGCAGGTTGCGCTATGTAGCATGGCAAAGCGGGGCCCTCCACTTATCAGAGAACCTGATAAAGTAGCAGGGGCAGAGCTAAATAAACATCTGGGGCAGACCTAAATAGCCAACGAGGGTGGAGCTTAATGACAGAACATTGAAACCTGCTGCCTTGTAACTTCTGCACACTGATGGGGAAGAAGGAAGGTGTCCCTGCTTCTGCAGCAACTAGATTCCAGGGACTGCAATGCCCCTGCTGCCCCTTCCAGACAAGCAGGGGCATTGCAGTCCCTGGAATCTAGTTACCTGTATGTACCTGTGTGTGTATGTGCCTGTATGTACCTGTGTGTGTGTCTGTCAGTCTGTAAGTGCGTGTGTAGTGTCTGTCTCTCTATGTGTGTGTGTGTGTCTACCTGTAACTGTGTGTCTGTCTGTTTTTAACTTTGTGTGACTTTTTGTAACTGTGTGTGTGACTGTCTACCAGTACCTGTTTGTGACTGACTGTCTGCTTGTAACTGTGTGTGTATGTGTGTGTGTGTGTGTGTGTTTTTCTACCTGTAACTGTGTGTGTGAGTGTGACTGTCTACCTGTATCTGTGTGTGACTGACTGCTTGTTACTGTGCGCGTGTGGGTGTGTGTATGTGTGTGTGTGTGTGTGTGTGTGTTACTGTCTGCCTGTAACTGTGTGTGAAACTGTCTGCCTGTAACTGTATGGGAGTAACTACCAGTAACTATGTGTGTTTGTCTTCTTGTAACTGTGTGTGACTGTGTGCGAGTGACTATGTGCCTGAGACTATGAACATGTGGCTGTATTTGACATTAAATGTAGCATTATTGTGTGCACCTGCATGTGTGTCTGACTGTGGGATTACATACGTGTGACACTGCAAAAATATACACCTGCATTCACACATGGCTTTTTTAAAAACCTTAATCAAATAACCATTGCAAATATCACACACAGTGAATACACAAATATATCACATACAGTCAATACACACATTACAAATATCACAGACTCCCAGCACACTGGACCGCCAGAGATCAGCATGCTTCACTCCCTGCAAGGTAACTAATGGGAAGGGGTAATGAATATTAATAATTATTCATTTAATAAAGCCCCTATAGAAACACTACACCTCTATTCCCCTTACTATCCATGGATGACCAAGTGTGACCAGAGAGGGGTGCTGTGCTATTTCGCATGGGGCGCCTAAGGGCCATAGGCCAGCCCTGTGTGAATTTATGTAAGTGAATTTTTTATCTATGTGTCAGGGACCGTGTGTGTGTATATGTTGGTGGGAACTCAGCCACTAGGTTTGTAAGGGGGCCTGATTGTTATGATGACAGCCCGGTCTGTTAGATCCGCAGTTTGCCTGTGTGGCTAGAATGAAGTCCAGACCACCTACTCCAAGCTAAACAGAATGCTGCACAGAGATTGTGCAGAAAGAGGAGAAGGCAGAAAGAGAAGGGTTGAGGGTTGAGTGAGCCTGGGGAGCCAGCCTAAGGCAGCATCCAGATACCACAACCAAAAAAGTAGAAGCACTTAAGAATATATGCAGTATAGGTGCACTACCCTAAAGTGACACTGCGTGACACACACTAGAGAACAATACAAAAATACGAAGCATGCTATCAACTGCAATAGATATGGTATTTCCAAATGTACAATCTGAAATAAATAATAAAAATATATAGTGCAGACTATTTGGTAACACCAAAAAAGAGATGCAGGAGTGTGCCTGGGAGAGAACTCACATGTACCAGAGCCCTATCACCCCTGGTTCTGGGTTTTAATAGCTCCACTTGAGAAGGATATTTCCCACAGCTTATATCAGGAAAGATATCTCCCTTCCATCAGATATGTATCTGGTACTCCTGTGTAGCATAAGAGGGATAGAGAGGCAAGGGCCCCAAATTGAATAACATCTAAGTACAATTTATTACATACAAGGTTAAAAACTCTTACCTAAGTGGTGGGTTTGCCAGCAATAAACCCACAACTCGGCAAGCAGAAATATACACAAACGGCAGCAGCTTGTAGTCACATCCGGGTTTCAGTACTGTTTCCGATCATGTGACAGCTTGGGACCTCCTCTCTATGACGTCATGCACCACGCATTTCACCCGCCTCCCCGGGCTTCTTCCGACCTTCCGAGCCCTATCATTTATTAGTTCAACAAAAGTCCCAGGAGTGCAATTGTTTCTATACCTATATCTACCTTTGTACACAACCACTACCGGGCATTACAAACGTCTACTTTAGTGCGAGCTACAACGATGTAGATGGATGTATATGTTACATAGTTACATAGTTACATAGCTGAAAAGAGACTTGCGTCCATCAAGTTCAGCCTTAATATATGCAGTTCTTTGGGCCCCTGCTGCCTTGTCCTGTGAAGAGGGGACCCAGAGATCTAATTTTCCATCTCCAACAGGATCAGCTTCTCTCCTCAGGCAGCACATCTTGGGCCGGCCTCGCATTTACCTCTACATAAAAACAAACTAACACATTAAGTAATTCATGCATGTTTGTATGCACACATACAAAACAGTCAGGAGGATATACCTTTTAAAATATATTTTGGAAATATCCAAAGCTTGTATTGCTGCATTGTACTATAATAGATGTTAATTGTTTGAAATAAGAAACTCAGTTGTGAAGAAATAAAGTGAAAATTTTGGCCAGTCTTCACACTGTGTTAAATTACCAAATTATTTTCATAGATTTTATTCGACAAAGTCTAACTGATTGCTTTGTTGTGTATCTCACTATTTATTTAATATAAATAGTAATTAGAGAAAGAGAAGAACACTCATGTTACTCACAGAAAAATGAAAAGGAGAGATTAGAAGTTGCCATTTAGATTTGATTTTGTTAAATACATTTTTACACTTTTTATATGATTTTGTTAAATGAACTATTCATTGTGTTGTTCCTAGAGTATACAACTATGATTTGTATTCTTGTATAAAATGTACAATGGACAACGTTGACACTACTTCATGGTAGGTAGACCACTAGTTAATGGGTGAATGTTTATTATTAAAGTAATAAGAGAATTATTAAGTATTAAGAGAAAATATAGAACAAAATGAGAAGGGATTCCAGAATAGAACTCCAGGCACTAAGGCAAACTTAATGCATTAGCTTAATTGCATTTGGTTTTGGCCACATTCGTATGCTGTATTTTTGTGTGTGCTCAAATCATTATAGTTTTTATAGGTTTTTTTTATATATATAAAGAGAGATATAGTAAAGTTATTACTACTTTATTCTGACTGTCTAAGAATAAAATGCAGCTCACTCAGTGCTGTTAGAGGCTGAGAGTATTTCTGGCATGGGAGATTGTGACTAAAAAGAAAGGGTTATGATGCCACATTCTACAAAACATGTACTGGTTTCTTTACTAAAGTCTGGGCTGGAGCAAGAATTTTTGTCTACACAAGCGAAAGTGTATGTTGTGACCCCTCTCACCATACTATATATATGTTTTTGCAGTGTCTTGACAAAACGTTCTAGAGATTTGATATTATTTCTAACGTTAGAGGGACTTAAAGGTATACTATAGTCACGAAAATAACTTTATATGCTTTAGTATCTTTCAAATAAATGAAACTCTTGCAGTTGGAGATCCATATAATGCAAACACTGCTGAAATAAAGGGTAGGTATGTCAAACCTATGCATAACCTCTCTAAGATAGCCCCAATGGATCCTGTCAAATACCTTCTCTGCATCCAAAGAAAGGACCAGAGAAGGCATTTTACCAATGTTCAGCTGGTGAAATAGATTAATAAAACATCTGGTTCCATCCAGGGCTTGTCTCCGTAATTCAAACAGTTTTAGCAAGAGTCTTATTTTCTTTATTGAAAACTAAATAATCACTTAATCTCAAAGTTTGACTCGGGCCAGTAGACAGAGACTGTTAAAAGCAACATAATAGGAGCATGGTCAAACCATGTAATTTTCAAAATCTCAGATTTCAATAAAGTGAGGCTGTAGTTACATCCACCATAAGGCGATAAATATGGGAGAACATTTAATTACATAGAGAATGATAGGACATAGTATTAAATTAGAGGGACAAAGGTTTAAAAATAATATCAGGAAGTATTACTTTACTGAGAGGGTAGTGGATGCATGGAATAGCCTTCCAGCTGAAGTGGTAGAGGTTAACACAGTAAAGGAGTTTAAGCATGCGTGGGATAGGCATAAGGCTATCCTAACTATAAGATAAGACTAGGGACTAATGAAAGTATTTAGAAAATTGGGCAGACTAGATGGGCCGAATGGTTCTTATCTGCCGTCACATTCTATGTTTCTATGTTTCTATGTTTCTATGTATAGTCTCTGTCATGCAACATTTTCCACATATTATACAAACCATTATTTAAGATAAACTTAGAACATCGTTCAGCCAAATTCACCCTGTCTTGTCTATTAATGGTCGTTTCTCTAACTATATCAAACTCACTATCTTGCACAAAATTAGTATCACCACACACAATCAATTTATCTTTACCATTCTCCAATACTATGTCCATGATCTTTTTGAAAAATCTTAACTGGCCTGAATTAGAAAAATATACATTCATAACCATGTATTCTAGATTATTGGTCATGTCAACCCAGAGCAAGTACCTCCCTTCATGATCTACTACCACCTTAGTTGTTGAGCATGCC